CGCTAGTATTCTAACATCGCAATCCCAAGATACCGCCCATCCAGCTACCCAGCTACATGAAATTCCCCCTCCTGCCTATGCATTTATACACACGCCTGCCCACATATTATTCCCGCCCTCATGGCGACCCAGCTCCGTTAAAAGGACTGGCCGTTGACCCAACACTAGAAGCGTCGCTTGCCGACGGTAAATCAGACCCCGTCTCCTCACCATCATCCCTACTTCTTCTTCGAGCGCCATTGGCAACCCTTGATCCCGGAATCTGCAGCCGAGTCACCATCTCCTCGGGAGCATGTCCTTGCTTTTGTCCCATATTTACCATCGCCATGACTTCCTTGAGCACTTCTCCCGTCTCGTCCATAGCCGCTAAGAAACGGGCTAGTTCTTTGCACAACTCCCAGTCCCCCTCTTGGATTGCCCTCGACAAGACGCGGACAGACTGGTCGGTTAGTGACTGGAATTCCTCAAGTGTGTGCAGCACGATCAGGTAGCCGCCTGCAGTTTTGAGTGATCCCCGTTGCAGGGATTCCTCAAACAGCTCTTGCGCTGGAGGCAAGTAGGCAAATAATGTCTTCCATTGCCGCACTTCTGTTTTGCGAGTGCACTGTAGCACCACGTCTAGATACTCTTTAGATGATGACGACAGAAGAGATAGCACCCGTGGAAGAACAGCGTCTTCAGGCTTCGGGCATGTATCTGCTTCCTCGTCCAGGACACGATGAAGCAGGATCTCCAATCCGTGCGACAAGTACTCCAAGTTTTGATATTGTTCACAGAGCTCTCCCGCTTCAATCGTTCTGCCTTGTCGCAGGTAAAAGCGCAAAATCTCGGGCAGAAACAGGTGTGTCTAATTGTAGTCAGCATCCCTACTCCCTCGAGCAATACGACTCTCAGTGGTACTTACCCTGATGGCGAAATGGAAAAAAGAAAAGGTCACATCCCGCCTTTGGATCAAGTCCGACTCAACTCCTAGTATAATGCCCTTCTCCAGCAGAACTGACAGTGGATAAAAATCCACGGGAACAGATACGGGCGCAGGAAAGTCTTTGCCGCCATCGGTCGAAGCACCATCCAGCAGTTCGTTAATGTTAGTCCACACCTTCACCTCCATGCCGTCAAAAACCCATAGAGAATCCTTTAATGCAGGTGGGCCGCGTCTGAGTAACGGATCGTCTGACAAATGGGCCACATTGAGCAAGGGCTGATCTCTCATGCTGGCATGGTACTCGACGTTTTGCGCAATAATACGCATATCGTACTTCAACTGGCCCTCTTCATTGAGCGAAGGACTCAGCAGAACTAGTTTACCGTCCACCAAGAATATCACGGATGCTACAGCCACATCCTGAGACGGGTCCCCATCCACCATCTGAGATTCAGGTAATATCCAGCTGAGCCCTCGAACCCTAGCAGGAGATCGTACTATGCCATGAAACGCAATCTGCCCCGCCTGAACAAGACGAACAGAATCCGCCCATGGGGTAAATATAAAATGATACAAAATATTCTCATATGTGTAAACAAGAAGAGAACCTTCACCAGACGTGGTCACGAGCACAACTGGTGCGGGGATTTGCTGGCGGAATAATACTTGAGCCATGTCGAGGGGTGTTTCCCTTGAGAACAGGCGCAGCTCGTAGTTCCTGTTGCTCTCGACCGCAGCAACGAGAAGATGCTGATACCAGCACATGCCGCCTCGGACTTGAAAATCGTTTTCCATGGCTTCAGTTGTGAATGTCTTCCATCGGCCGCTATTGACGCTGTAATGTGCAAGGCCACGGCGGCCGGCAACTGCGACGTATCTTCCATCGGCGGATATGACTGTCTGGCGAATGGGCCACTGATTTAACAAATACGTTGGAGGTATCCTGGCTGTGTGCCACAGAAAGGGCTCGGCTGAGATACTCGTCATATCGGGGAGGTCGTATCCTCTATACACCATAACTGCAGCCGGGGTCTGAAGGACTGTCCGAAAGACGTTTGCCTCATTATAACAGCCTGTGACTGCGTTCTTGGCCATTTCCAAGCCCCAAATGGCTTCGTGGCAAGGGCCTGCAAGCAGGATTTCAGAACCTCCTCCGATCCACGAAGCTGATGACACTCCGGTCAGCCACTGCTCATCATTCCCGCTGGAAATTCGTGCATCGGACCCGAAACTGTTGCTACCTAGTTTGCCAAACATACTCCATGTCGACCATCCCTTTTCGAATCCGGAAAAAAGGCAGTATCCGTCAGGGGAGTAGCAAAGGGAAGTAAAAGCTCCAGCAGCGGCGCTGGATACGGGGATCCTATGCTTATGTGAGAGCACAATATTGCCCGAGTAATCTCGAACAGAGTACACGTAAACTGTCCCGTCGGTGCATCCCGCCGCAATTAATGAAAACCGGGCATTTATAACAGCCTTGACGGCATAGCTCGCAGAGGTTTCAGGGGTATGAAAACAGTAGCCTTTAAATAGACGCTTTGCGTCCACACCTTCAGAGTCCAAGTCCCCTTTCGATTGCTGTCTTTGTACCGCGTATACTCGTCCATCGCTGGTGATCCAGGTTGCTAGATTCATGGGCCTGTCGTATGTCATCTCTAGAATAGACGTCTTATTCTCAACCCACCCCATCTTGCTTATAATCTCGGTTCTTGTTTGGTTGCCTGTGCTATCCGGAGTCCATCGGATGCATTGAACAGCGGCGGGCTTCCTTGTCGCCACGACCAATTCGTCATCGAGTGCCAAGGCACTTTCAATACCAGCATCAATCTTGATCACCATTCGGAATCGCACGCTGACGTCACGGACCCCTGCGCCTTCTCCCGGACCCCAGAGAATTTGGTCTGCTCTCAGCGCCGCTTGGGGCCCGATCAGACTTTGTTTTCGCCGTTGGACGTTGTGGTGGTTTGGAAATTGGGGCTTGTAGACACACGATTCGCCATCGGTAGCTATTGAGTAGGTGATGAGGTATCCCTTTGAGGTATGAACCACTAGTATGGCAGAGTCTGGACGCAATAAGAGATCGACATTGGTTCCATAAGATTGGATCGAGGACTCGGATCGAACAACGACTGCAAGTATAACGGTAGGCTGCAACATGTTAGCTATTACCATGACCTACTTGGGAGGAGAGGGGAAATGTTGGTCCGACCTTGGTTTGCCACAAAGTAATGCTTGTTGCAGTGATGACGCCAAAGAAGTGAGCAGTACGGGTAACGGCTAAGGCAAGTACGGGATCTTTGAATGGAACTGTAGCTTTGTTTCTCGAATCAATCGAGGGCGGGGAGCTCTTTGCTGAAAAAAACAAGTCGTCTCCCAGGACGGGTTGGACAGCCGGCGTGACTGGCGTCAATGGAGTAGGCGGGGGGTGTTGGAAGTCGATGTCGTCGGCAGCAGCTCGGGACTGTCCATCTTTGCCGAGTGATGACGAGGAACTGGATGCGTCGGGCTGCTGGAGGCCGTCGTGGGACACAACGAGGTTGAGATCGGGAGCGCGACCGCTGCTGGTGGCATAAATGCGTGGAGTGCCGATGGGCCAATACATTATGGCCGCAACCTCCTCGGCAGGCCAGCTTATGCGCAGGGTTCGAGGACGACAGTGAGGCTATTGCGCTTTGTTGACCATGTCCGTGTATGGGGTCCCATTGGTCTGGGAAGAGTTCTGTTTCATTGATTGACGGGGCCTTGCTGGTAACGAGTCGGTGATGGAGGCGCATATACGGAGTATGGAGCATGCCAGACATGCAAGCATCAGGAGCTCCAGGCCATGTCCAGTCAGTGGCCGAAGCTACGGAGTAAACCACTAAGGTGCTCGCAGTTGTCGAGACAAAGTGGGTCGGATCGACCCGAGAGGACGATTACATAAGAATCAAGTATGTATGTACCTAGGTACTTGTTCAACATGGGACAAATTCTATGTGCTTATAGAGTCTGTGTAGATGACAAAGATGAGAAAAGAAGAAGAAAAAAAAGGAAACAAGGGGGCCACACTAGAGTCTATAAATGAGAGCGCCCTTCTTACAACAATCTGGCACGACCATAATCTGATTTTGTTCGTAAAAGTTCCGCAGACGCTCCATCTCTCTATAGGGTCCCAGCGCCTGAGCCCCTCATGCTTTGCCCCAGATAACGGTCAGAAGATTGCATTTGTATCTCTTATGGCCATGTTGTATCGGACAAGTGTGGGGAAAACACAAGCCTATTCACGGTTGTGGACCGGCACGGGGAGACAATGCGGACAGATGGGCAACTGCACTGCTCTTGGATTGATGTTAGTTGCGCTCCGATTTTCCGCATGCAAAATGTAGGCTGTGAAACACCGTCGTCGCACAATGGCCCTCTCGCATCGCGTGGTTGTTATCTCAGTCCTATCAAAGCAGATGCGGAGCATGTAAGCCGGAAGCCGGCAGGCATGTCAATATTGGTACATATCAAAGATGATAAGGCAAGCTCCGCCCGCCGTCCGCCCTCCCAGTATGGGTGACAAAACGAGACAAAGACCAGGCTGTCTCATATCGCCCGAGAACGGCACCGGTTCACCCAAGGGCGCGCGCCTCATGTACGTAATGAAAGAGGCCAGGTGACCCGTTGTCGCAGGTGCGCCGGGCCCATCCAACCGCCGTCCAACCAACCATCTCCGCAACCACTGGATAAATGCGGCTAGGAGCGGTGGCCTGCCGACGCCGGACCAGTGGCCATCTGGACGCCTGCGCATCTGGACCCCGGAGTCCAAGCGCCGTGACCCCCGAACATCTGCCCCCTTGGCCCCGTAAAAGGCAAGACCGACTTGCATCCTGCACTTGGAACTTACACCACACTTTCCTTGCCATCTTTTGCATTTTGCCATCGTTGAGATTGTCCTCGAGCGCCTTTAAACAACGAAAAACCCCCTTTTCTCGCCAACAGCAGCTGCCCTTGCAGCGTATTCTCTGCTGCATCCGAGCCACTTGCACGGCCCTTGCTGCTCGCTGACAACACAAGACCGAGCCACCGACACACTTACATCCCGCCTCCAAACATGCCGGTTGCTACACCCCACACTGCCGTCCCAGGCCAGCACGACCAATCACAGCTCGCGCACGCAAGCTCCAATGGCGTCAACGGCAACCATGCTACTGCTCTGAACGGAACCAAGAATGGAGTCGCACCGGGCTCATCCATCATTGAGGACATACTGGCCAGAAGGACCAAGGCCGGAAAGCTCGTTGCTGGAGTTGCAGCTGCTTCAGATAGCGATATGTGGAAGGGGCCCGTAAGTGACCATCTGGCATCCAGTCACCACCCGAGACCTACCTAATCATTTTTTATACATGTATTTAATTATTATCTAAAAGACACATTTTTTTCTCTAACTTGCGAATAAGCAAACCGGAAAACCAAAGGCAAAGCGCTGGGACAGTACGTAAACCCTCGCCCTCCTTTTCTCAAGCATACCCAGATCCAGTCATCTTACACCCTCTCCAACAGGCCATCTCAGCAAGGAAAGCTTAGAGCGAAAGCCATGCACCCTCAAGCTAGCAGCAAAGCACCTCAAGAAGCCTGGTCTCATTTCCCTCGGCGGCGGCCTGCCTTCCAGCGAGACTTTCCCATTCGCTGAGTTCGCCATGAAAGTTCCCATTGCTCCTCACTTCTCCGAAGACGAAACCCTAGAAAACGGGCAGACTGTCACCATTGGAAAATACGATGTGCGCGACCACGACGCCGTTTACGACTTATCCATTGCCCTCAACTACGGCCAGTCTACCGGCTCGGCGCAAATGTTGCGCTTCCTCACCGAACACACCGAGATTGTGTGCAACCCTCCTTATGCAGACTGGCGCATCTGCCAAACCATTGGCAGCACCGGCGCGCTAGAGCAAGCTCTCCGAATGCTCTGCGACAAGGATCGGGGCGATTCCGTTCTGACCGAGGACTTTAGCTTCTCGACCGCTCTGGAGACCATTGCCCCTCTCGGTGTCAAAGCCTTTGGAACCCCCATCGACAATGAGGGTTTAGTACCAGAGGCCATGGACATGCTCCTCACCAACTGGGACGACAAGGAGCGTGGCGCTAGAAAACCCCATGTCTTGTACACGGTCCCGTCTGGCCAGAACCCCACGGGTGCTACTCAGGGCACCGGGAGGAGAAGGGCCATCTACGCCGTCTGCCAAAAGCACGACGTCTTCATCATTGAGGACGAGCCGTACTACTTCCTCCAGATGCAGCCCTACGCCGGCCGCAACCAGCCTGACGCTCCTCCCCCCCGTACCGTTGAAGAATTTGTATCGTCCTTGATCCCGACATATGTCAGCATGGACATTGACGGCCGCGTCTTGCGCATGGACTCTTTCTCCAAGGTTCTGGTGCCCGGCTCGCGGCTCGGCTGGGTGGTTGGCTCGGAGCAAATCATCGAGCGGTACCAGCGTCACGCCGAGGTAGCCAGCCAAGGACCCAGCGGCTTCTCCCAAATCATTCTTTACAAGCTCCTTGACGAAACGTGGGGCCACGAAGGCTACCTTCGGTGGTTGATGAACCTGCGCATGCAGTATACCAAGAGAAGGGATGCCCTGCTCGCTGCATGCGAGGAGCATTTGCCCCGGGATATCGTGACCTGGACCCCCCCGGCCGCGGGCATGTTTGTAAGTGCATTTATTTCCCTCCCATTATCTGAGTGAGCAGCACACTGAGACAAAGCACTGCAGTTGTGGCTCCACGTAGACTACGCCAAGCACCCTCAAGCCGCCACCAAGTCCCTCACCGACGTCGAAGAAGAGATTTTCAACTCGTGTATCGACGGCGGCGTCCTCGTTGCCCGAGGTTCCTGGTTCCTGGCCGAGAAGGAGAAACCTATGCCGGGATTGTTCTTCCGCGCCACATATGCTGCTGCCAGCGCAGAGAACATGAATGAGGCCATCAAGCGATTCGGCCAGGCTGTGCGTCATAGTTTTGGCAACTAGTAGAATTCAACGTAGCCGTCTTATGAGTGACATGGCTTGCATCAACGTGGTAATATGACGTAGTTATATGGTGAAGAGTGAAGGGGGTGAAAAGGAGAAATATCACGGATATGAGTGAGGTTTATTGCTGGCTAGCTCCTGAAAAGATCAACATGTCCAAAAAGATTAACCCTCGACGACATCATACACTTGGTTGTGATTGTTCCCCATAACATATGTCACAAGACTTGTAGTTTGCCGAATCTACGCTTCGTTCCACCTTCATTCCGTAATTCATGGCTTTTCGACCTCCTGGGCTTCCCAAAACGCAACGTGAACTCCCTGCCCCGGCGACAAAACGACGTCTGCTCTCAGCATAGGACTATCCCCATCCAGTTCAAACATGTGGCTGTCTAGACGATCGAAACGCTGAAACATTCTAACTAGGACATAGCTCATTTCTGTTAGAGCAAACTGCTGACCAATGCAGATACGAGGACCGGCATTGAAGGGTATGTATTCATGTGGCTTCGGGTGCCAGTTTGACCATCGCTCGGGACTGAATAGGGCAGGGTCGGCAAAGGTCTCAGAAACAGGGGGGTACAAGTCCGGACGGCGCTGCATAACCAGTGTAGAATAGCCGACCTTGGTGTCTTTAAGAACGGGAAGAGGTTCGGTGCCGTCGGGTCCGCCGCCACGAGGGAGGGTGCAGTCCTTGAGGGCGAGGCGAACATTGAACGGGACGGCAGGGTAGAGTCGAAGCGTTTCGTTGATGACGGCCTTCATGTAAGGCATGTTCTTGAGATGTTCGTAAGTTGGCGGCTTGGTAGGGCCGACAACCTCGAGAATTTCTCGGCACAGCTTGGCGAGGCATTCCGGATGGCGTGCCAGTTCGTAAATAGCCCAAGATAGAGTTCCGGCAGTGGTGTCACGACCCGCAAGCAAGACAGCAACAATCTGGTCTCGGATAACCTTGGGATCGCGGGTGAATCGAGCAAGTTCATGGAGGAAAGTGTACCCTTTGTCGGCTTTACTCTTGGATTCCAGTTCTTCGGGGGTCATTTGCAGTGCGAGGTCGATGAAGCGTCCCACAAAGGTGTTGATGACGCGGAGGTCTGCGCGATATTGCCATTTTGGAATCAACCAGCGAAGGTTGCTAGCACGAGAGGCGATGTTTTGGAAGCGTTGTACATTGTTGAAGGCTTCGGCGAATTCTTGCTTTGGGGTACTTTGACCCATGTCAGCATGGGTACAAAAAAGAAGAAAAGAAAGAAAAGAAAAACAAATTCAAGTTGATGAAAGCAATAGTAGGGACATATATGAGGACAATGAGAATGCAACCATACCTCATCGACTTGACGTCAGTTCCGAGGAGGAAATCTGTGGCAACATCCAAGGTATATCGATAAAACAAATCCGCGATATCAATGACACGTCCATTGACCTCCTTCAAATCCACCGGCTGGTCCTCTCCCTGTAAAGCACCCCCATTCGCCATCGCCCTAAATAGAGTATCCATGTGCGCCTCGAAGCACTCGAGGTCGCTGACACGATCTCTCGTAAACTGGGGTCTCAGCATCTGCCGGCTGTTATGCCACATGGCACCATCGGTTGTGAAGATGCTATCACCCAGAAATTCTCCCCATTCTTGGCGGAAGGGTTCTCCTTTGCCAAAATCAGAAAATTGCGTTGCCAAGATAGCCTTGATATTTTCCGGGTCAATGGTGAAAACGACGCGTTCGTTGGCAATACGACCTTCAACCGTGTTGCGCTTGTTGCGTTTGAAGAAGTGGTCGCGCCAGACTTCCATAGTTTTATGCGTCCAAACTGCGCGGAGGCCTCTCGAAACTATATCAAGGCCTGTTGGTGGTTAGACCGGTAGATCGGATGATAATGAAAGGCAGATCAACGAACCCAACGGGACCCAGCTTCCCATGTTCTTGCCATAGTTACCAAGACGTTTGATCCGGCGGTGTTCGTCAAAACGTCGAATCACGCGATGGAGGACAATGGCAAATAGAAGAAAAGAGAATATGACCCTCGCAGACAGTTGCGCCAGGACGGCTTCAACGGCGACCATGATGACTGTTGAAAACGACAGGCTTTGTCAAGCAAATGATGAAGTACTCTACGAAGCACGTAAGCCCAAGCCGTTTACGATATTAACAGCATTTAGTGGCAGAATTTTCATTGAACCATGAAGACCAGTTTTGGGCTCAATCGGGTTCCAACTCCAATCAAGACGAGTGATGCAAAGGACCATGGTCCATGAGTTTACTATGACCAACGTACCCTGTAGATTTTCAATGATTACCGTAGTCGGTGCACTCGGCTAAATATCCGCAGGACACGCGCACTAGGAGGTGCGATACAGCTGAACAGGTCAAAGCTGGCTGTATTGCTTCAGGTCTGTCGGTTGAACCGAGTCTTGCTGAATTCGACAAGTGGCAAAGCGACAGGACAGCAGCATAACAAGACAACAGGGCCTTCCAAAGTAGATCTTGACGAGAGGTTGAAGGAAATGAAACCAAAGCCCAGCTACGAGCAGTGTTCAGGATAAGCGAAGAATGGAAGACAGCAAAGTGGGCCATACCAAGGGGCTTTAAAGTATTTGGTCGCATTGAGATTGTCGCAAGCTGCGGAGCAACCTTGAAACCGAGGGAATTCAGCCAAATGAAGCCCGCCTTGCCCAGGGCGGTGAATGCGGATGAGGAGCTTATACGGAGTACCAGACTTGGGGAGCAGGAGTGACGAGCAGCCGTCGGGGGACGGCGTAACCATTGCCATTAGCAGTCACTCTTTGACACCGTCTTCTGGCCACTGTAATGTGCAACGAGTGATGGACGACGTTTCTCAACAAGCCATCGGCCTTGGCACTGCCGCTGTAAAACAGCTCCACCGTCGTGGCTACCCGAGTCGACAGGACAGGAGATTTCAGCTTTCCCCGATCGTCCAGTCCCCACGGTGGTTGTGTTGGCCCCGTGGGTTGAAGCTGGGGGTGCCAGCCAGAATATGGGGGAAGTGGAGGCGTAGCGAAATCAAGCCGAGGTGGAGACCAGAAATTCCCGTGTTTTAACATGACCCATCACAGAGGGTTTACGCCTCGAGTTGAGTGTTGAGGATTGCGGATTGCGTGTTTTGGGGCAGATTCACTGCAGATGCGAAAACACCGTGGTACAGATAACATCGGACGGAAACGAGGAGGCGCGCCCTCCAAGGCCTGGGCAGCACCTTCCCAACTCTCGCGCGTGCCACATGTGCAGGCTGTTAGCCTTGGCTCGAGTTGCCTGCTCTTGTAAATCACATGTGAGTGAGAATGCTTTGACTATCAATTGGGTCACTATCAGCTAGTCTCCAAAGGACAATACAATGCCGACAAAGAGCAACAGGCTCTTGGCCCATCCACCAAGATTCACAGCTACACAGACATGGTCAAGAGCAATAAAAATATGTGCTTCATGTATCTGTCATGCACGTGTTGACTGAATCACGTGTGTCGGACTAGAGCAGACTGTAGGCTTCCCCGCGCCTCCACGATTAAATTATAAAAATGCCGATGGTTTCTTCAACTTGTTGCCGAGCCTGTCTGTTCTGGAACACGACACCAGGCTCAGTGGATGGAGAATTGCGCCACGGTACTCCGTACATGAGTAGAGAAGGGGGCGGCAGGGTGGCTGGGTGGGCCTCCCCACAGCCACCACAGTGCAACCATTAATTGATCACATCTTGATGTACTGTTATGCAGAGCATACGGAGTACATCATGGCCCATCAACGGACTTGCTTGGCATCATGCACAGCCCGCTGCCGCTAGATGTATCTGTCCGGAATCCGGAGGCACCACACCTCGTCATCACTGTGGCGGAATGGCTGTTCTTCGCCAAGGTAGATGACAAATAGTCCGCAGCCCGGCGCGGCATTGGAGAGATGCGCGGCACTTGAGCTCGTCGTCAGTTATACCTGTCGTACTTTTTGGGGTGGTCCTGAGGGTGAGAGGCGTGTCGGCCTCAAACCCGATTAAAAAGATCTATGATGCAGGGTAGCATTTATTAATTGTCGAAAAAGCAAAACAATAGCGGGTTGTATCAATGTTTACTAGCGGAACAGGAAAGGGGCCGGCTGCGTCAGTACGATCTTCCGGAAGAGTGAATCAACGATGCTATTATTCGCCGTTTCTATAGTCGTTACACACCGTTTGTATCTCGGATGGCTTGATGCACACCAGATCAGACGGCATCATACACCACACTGTGGCGATGACTAATTAATCACGTGACAAAGTTCCAAGCACAGCGGTTGATAAGTGGTTGATAATCACAGATGCATCTGGATGGTGCCAGAGCCCTTAACAGGTCTAGGAATCATAGAAGAATCGAATGAGGGCACTCAAAAAACGTTGGCCGTCCTCTTTACCCAATCAACTAGGCGTTTGTACTTGGCGACTAGCGCTTCAACCTGCACGGCTCTTTGCATGCATAAGCAAGGAGAATGACCATATCACGTGACTGATCGCAAGTCTCCACCTTTCTCTCTGGTCTTGCTTAGTCTTTCAGAGACCTTGCGGCCGTGACTATGGCATCAGTCCCAACATCGGTGCCCTGACCATTCTTTGTTCTACAATACCCACGTCTTGGTGTGATTAATCGGCGGCGTGAAACGCTGTGAATCACTCTTCGCGGCTACTGGGCCAATACTTCCAACTCGGCGGTCCTGTTGAACTAGGAAAATCTCAATCGACGCGTCGAGTTCAGACACCGGAGTTGACGACGCCACCGGCGTATCGCAACGACTTTCTCACCTTCACCCTTCACCTTTACAATTATCTGTGACTCTCAAAACACTCTTGCAACATCGAATATGTCGGTCGAAGTTAGCTTGAACACTCCTCTGGCGGATGCGCTTGATGCCGCCATCAAACCCAAGCTCATCGAAGTGGGATGGGGCACTGGCTCCGATGACTCTGCGTCCCTTTCTGAGTACATCGTCCTTATGCTCGTGAACGGCAAAAGCCAGGATCAGATCGCTGCAGATCTTTCAACCGACCTATTAGGCCTCCCTGCCGATGACCCTACCGTTCACGAGTTTTCAAGATGGCTCTTTGAACAGGTTGGCCTCCTTAACGCCCAATTGAACGGCCGCCACCCTCCTGGTAGTGATGCTCCAGAAGGCGCATCGCATGACGTGGCTCAAGGGGGAGATATGGACACTGATATGACTGTCAATGATGTTTCAGAACTTAATGCGTAAGTACTGACTCTGTTTAGTCCGTGTTGCAGTTCCTTTTACTCTGTTCATAGTATCTAACACACATATAAATAGCCCTACGGGCCCCCGCTCGATGCGAAATGGAAATTTTCGAGGTGGCAGGGACAAGAGAATGCTTGGACACATGTCAAAAGCCATGGACCGGACCGGCGACAGCGCCCTCCACCGGGTGCGAGGTAACGGCAGTGAGAGAATTAATACCCATGGTCGCGTTCCACCATCTGGGCCCCGAAACGCCCAAGGACGTATGCAGCGAAACAACCGTGCTGCGAACCTTCAGGCTGGGCTGGCCGCAGGTCCCCAAAACGCCGGATGGATGATGAACGGACAACAACCGAACGAGATGGATATCATGGCTATGATTGAGCAGCAGAATCAGATGATGTTGCAGTTGTCACAACAGCTGATGGGCGGAGGAGGACATAACAGAGGGTTTGGTAACCAGCGCCGGGGCAAGTCACTGTTTGACCGAGTTCAACACCCTCACCAGCGGAGGGGCAATCAACATAACCAACAGGCCAATGCCGACGGATCAAAGGAGACTACTGAGGGCGGGGAAGACGTTGACATGTCTGGCGAGAAGCGCAACCCCCCGAACCCCGACGACACTGTTTGCAAATACAACTTGCATTGCACCAACAGAGAATGCAAGTTTGCCCACCAGTCGCCGGCGGCCCCCCCGGGGGTGACTGTGGACGTTAGCGATGTATGCAGCTTTGGGGCTGCTTGCAAGAATAGGAAATGCGTTGGTCGTCACCCTTCGCCAGCCACAAAGCTTGCGCATCAGAGCGAACAGGACTGCAAGTTCTTTCCCAACTGCCAGAACCCGCGGTGTCCATTTAGGCATCCATCCATGCCCTTGTGTCGCAATGGTGCCAATTGTACTACCGAAGGCTGCAAGTTTACTCACGTTAAGACGAAATGCAAGTTTAATCCCTGCATGAACCCAACATGTGCCTTTGCGCATGAGGAAGGCCAGCAAGGCAGTTTCAAAGATAAGGTCTGGACTGCCGATTCATCCAACGAGCACGTCAGCGAGAGGAAGTTTGTAGAAGAGGGTGGCCAGCCGGAGCTTGTAAAGGCCGACGAGATAACGACGGACCAAGCGGCGCAGGACGCTGAGGTTATCGGATGAATGGTGTGGAGGGCTATAAGAAATCGTGAAAGGGGAAACGGTAGAGGAGGCTTTGCAATGTGACCTGTGGTGGTTGCCGTCCTGGAAAATTAAAGAAAAGAGGCGAAGCGACCAATCCAGAGCATTGAGCTTGGAGGTCATGTACATTATTGATCGACGAATGTTTCTGTCACGATGGAAGGGCATGGATGGCGTTCTATGTTTTGGGGGCGGCGAGGATTCCCGAGATGTCTCATGTCCTCAAGAGGGCCGCAAACAGCAATCGGTGGAGAGGAGAGTGACTGAGGTAGTGGCTCTTTGAAGTTTATCGGCGCACAGCTTGAATAAAAATGAAGGGGCTATGCGTCATGAAGGAGGAAGGATGGGAAACCAATAGACTATAATTTCTCTGTCGCTGTCTACACATATGTTTTGTCTTGACTTTTATAAGTGAATATCCACATCCCATCTGCTGATACCTACTATGATCTTGATAACCTTGAATACATGTTTGCATGTGTAGATAGGTGTCCCTCACGCCAGCTCAGTCTCGAAGTAGACCGGGACGTCGATGGTGGAGCTCGGAAGTGTCAGAAGTGGTGCTCGATGCGGAACCGTCACATCAGCCAACAAAAGACGTCACCCGAGGGTTGACCCGGATCGACCCACTGCTCTCAACTCATATCACCATGAGCAATTGAAGTCGTACACACCTCAGGCATGTGTCGGAACCGGGCAGAAGACGCTGCTATGACTCTTCTATCTCTGGCATCAGCTACTCGGGGCTCCACCAGGACAAACCTCACACGAAGCTTCCAATTGCGCTGTTTGAGCAGCGTGAGCGCATCATCATCGCCGCCATCGAAATCAAGCCTTCGACATCCAGGCCGAAGCAGCAGCCAATGCGTGTCGTACCATGCCGCGCGCGCCCATCGTCCACATTTCATGACCAATCGACGGTCCTACGCCACGCAAAACAACAAAGGGGACATTGCTGTCGTCGGAGGAGGATTGACGGGTCTCACGACAGCGTACTATCTCGCGAAGCAGCTGCCGCACACTGCCAAGATTACACTGTACGAGGGGAGTGACCGGCTCGGCGGATGGATTCGAACGGATCGTGTGCCGGTTGACGTCGAGGGCGTCGGGGGGATGGTTAGCTTCGAGAGAGGCCCAAGGACGTTGTCGTCGAACCATCTGAGTACGTGGAAGTTTGACGATCTCGTGCTGTACGACTTGGTAAGATGACGCATGCTCTGCCGGACATCAGAATGAGCTGCTAATTTCCTTCTTTTTTTTTTTCGGGGGGTCGTAACAGGCTCTCGATCTAGGTCTCAAGGTCTTCACACCACCCGATCAACCACGTTACATCTACTACCCGGACCATCTCGTCACGCTTCCACCGGCCGGTAGCTTCGTAGAGTTTTGCCGCGAGCCGCTTTTCCTTCAATCCCTCTGGGGCGGCCTAGGCTTCCTCTTGCGCCGCATGCGCAGCCGCGCGGTTCCCATGAAGGACATGTCCGTCTCAGAATGGCTGTATGAGATTAGCGGAAGTCGCGCCGTCGCGGAGAACGTCGCATCCGCCATGATCCACGGCATATACGGTGGTGATATAGATAAGCTGAGCGCCAGATCAGTGTTTGACCGCTTCTACTGGGCGTATTACCTGCCAAATATGGGCTCAGATCTTAGACAGATGACCATGAGAGAGCAGACGTTTATGAGTGAATTGTCGCAGGATCCGCAGATTCGCAGGATGGCACTCAAGGCACGGGGTGCGTTGTTGCATTTCGGCAAGGCGGGAATGGACAGCTTGCCAAAGGCGTTGGCAGATGTGCTGGAAGCAACGCCCAATGTAGAGATTAGAAAGGGCATTCCGGTGCGGGACATCAGCTACGACAAAGAGACGGAAAAGGTGAATGTGAGTTTTGTTTGCCAACTGGACAAAGACACCCGCCAGCACTTGGGTTCTGACCCTCTGACAGATCACAACCGGCAACTGGGCCGACGAAGAGCAGCAACACCTCGAAAACAAGACCACCACCTCCCACGATCGCGTCATATCCACCATAGCAAGCCAGGACCTCTCCCGCGTCACGGCCTCCAAGTTGCCCAGCCTCGCGGAAACGCACTCCGTGTCCATCATGACCGTCAACATGTGGTACCCCAAGAAGCACATGAAGCCACGCGGCTTCGGCTACCTGATCCCTCGGTCCGTCAGCCGTGAGCACAACACCGAGCGAGCCCTCGGCGTCTTCTACGACTCCGACGTCAGCGGTGCCGCGTCGCCCGACGAGCCCGAAGGCACGAAACTATTCGTCCTCATGGGCGGGCACTACTACGACTCTGGCGCTCCTCCACCCTCGGAATCAGACGCCGTTGAGCAGGCCAAGTCCCTCCTGGAGCGCCATCTAGGCATCCCCGCCGATACGCCCTGCTTCGCCTTGTCCAGATTTGCAAAGGAATGCATCCCGCAACATTTTGTCGGCCACAACGACCGCATGATGCAGACTGATCAACAGCTTCGTGACGAATTCCATGGAAAACTAGCCGTGGCGGGCGGCTCGTATAGCAAGATTGGTGCCATGGGCGCAATTCGCGCCGGGTACGACATCGCGAAGCAGACTGTCGGCGAGGGAGGGTGGTACACAACGGGACTGGAGATTCTAGAGTTTCCAGAACCGTTTGTCGGCGTGCCCATTTCGAAAATTCCCGTCAGGAGGTTTAGACAGCTGGAGCAGAACAGGGGCTAGGTAGAAGGCTGTGGAAGAAGATGAGGGAAACACCGGGACTGTATATTATGGCTGGGCCGAGGATTCTGGTATACCACTGGTACGAAATCATCACGGCGACTTACCAACGTATAGAGCGCAGACATTGACGCATAAGCACATATTGACAGGTGGGTAGATAATATAGTAATCCCCTCTGGCAAACATTGTTCGCAGGTGGTTCTACAGAACACCCTGGGAAATGTAGCCGCGAGCGGAAACGAAGAAGCGCAGTGCTGCAAATACGTAGCAAGTTTTTGATGTGACCGGGTATGACGAGAATACTTTGCTACTAAACCGACATGGCCTGGCGTTTCTTACTATAGTCTTTTAGAAGCGCAACCATGGGCGAATCATGTAGATTAAAAAATGCATCATACGTCAAATTTCTGACCATCAAGATCTGTCTTCTGTAGCAACGTTCTTGCTGCCAAGGTGCGATTTGCTGCCTCGCGGATCTTGAAACGTGATGCGGCGCAGCTCATGCACGGAGCTGCATCTGGTCCCCAGTCGGCCAGTTTGTGCGACCACGCGTGAGACGGCACGGACCAAGACTCGTTTACGTACTCCGTACGGAGTATAACAAGAGACAACTACTCCGTACTAATCTGCCGGTTGGTAGCTTGTCTTTAGAATTGCATCTAAATCATGCATGTCAGACCGCATTCGCAAGGGGTCTCGACAGCAAACGGCATAGGTAATGGTTCGAAACGTCAGTAGCAAACCTTACCGCGAGAAGGTTTATGCGAGTTTGCAAAGGGGGTTTCGCTGCACAGGCGGTTCGCGAGTTACCTGCAGCTCGCCCAGCGCTGAGACTGCATTCCCAAAGAACTCGTCCACTCTATTCCAGTCCATCTCCCATTTGGGTCAAGACTTTAAGAGTCATATTTCCCCTAATGCAGTCGAACCCTCAAAATCTTATCGCCGATCAGAGTAGTGGTGACCTTGATCACGGTGTCCAGTCACCCGGTGATGTCCGCGAGTCTCTTATCCAAACTCTTCTTTTGGTTCCTCTCGAGCCAGCGTGGCACGTATTCAACTAGGTGACTGTTTTCGTCGCTCCCTCCAGTCAAAACGACCAGCTTCCCCCTACAGACTTCATACCATTGTTAGCGAGTGTAAGGCAGGGACGATTGAAATTTACAGAACATCCTTGGAGGCTAAGTTTTACCAACACGGAGGGGCAAGCAGTGACTTGTCTAGCTGCGGCCGCGACAGATAACAAACAGATCATTCCCTTATTGACAAGTCTCTCAGATCGTCAACTGCAATGCTGTATCTCCTCAATCGAACTGATTACACCCCATCGAGACTTGCTCTTCATCGCCGAGATGCTTGACAGAAGAAAGCCTCGAAGGCCACCAAAACGCAAAGCAATTCCTAGTGTGCGAACTCGCCGCAGAATTCAGCAGATCGGATGTCTAGAGCAGGGCCGAGCAACGATGATCAAATCTGCGCTTGGTAAACAGCCGTGTTCAGCGATCAACCCTGGAAAGCAAGCGCAGAATAAAATTAGTCCACGCGTAATGGCCAGTCAATGCACCAAAAATAACTCAGAAGAGGATTGCAGATGGAGCCAAGTTGAGTACCAAGCTCCGCAAGGGCCTGATCTTGCTGGCTCTGTGGTTCAAGGTCAGTCTGACTTCGCCTGCCCGGCTGGCCCTGGTACAATAGCATCAATGCATGTACCAGATTGCAGTGAATCAGAAGTCTTGAATGAAGCGCATGTTCCTAGCAGCCAACATCGGCAGACACATCCCCAGGTCTGGGAGGGAACTCGGCCAATATGTTGGCTGCTCCTGAAGACGCCTGTGACCGCCTCAACCAGCATCCTCACAGTCCCATTAGATGAGATTCTCATGACCGTTTCGGCACGGCTTGGCGACAAGGACGGAGACGTGCGATGTGCCGCCGTTGAAGCCTTATTTACTCATGCCACCCCCCCACTCTTTTGGTTCCGTCTTCGCCTGCACCCTCGAGAGGGTGCTGGGCTGCTTGAAGCGATCTTGGAGACAAACTCAACTGTCATGGCTCCTGAAGATCTTGATCGAATATGGCGAGAGTACGACGAGCTTGTCAGGAGACCTATCTTCAAGGTACCTTTCATTTCATAAATCCAAAACCTCGAAATACTAACGTCTGTAGTCGTCGGCAAACGAGGTGCGGAGAATTCTGTTCGACCTCCACAAGAGATGAACGAGCGGTCCTATCCAAAGAAACGAGGCTTCCGTTCTGAACGAAGCGCATTTGAGAGGACTGATGGCCGGAAAAAACGCAAAGCGTTGGTCGACGAACCGCATCATATAAGCTCTGAAGAACCAGAACGCCAATCCACCTTCCTCGCTTCAATCAAGACATGGAGAAAGACGGCAGGAATGCGCCACCCCGGTGAAATTTCACTTTCAAGTTGAAAGATTTTGGCCACGTCCGACTCATGCCAGGTTCATATCGTTTTTGTTAGTCAATTGGCGACACGAATGGTCACATTGCAAGGACCAATGTCGGTCAGACGAGAGACATATCTCCGTTATCGAGGCGTACCCTGGGGAATGGCAGATTGTTGGTATTCGCATCGATCCCATTTTGGCTTTAGCTGCGAAGACCACCAACTTGCCTCTGCCTGACCTGTGTGTCCCACGATGACCACTCTCCATACAATGAGCCTTGTTACACGTTGCGTGTGCAAGGAGCAGGAAGATATGCTAGGGCACGAGAGCATCCATTGGCGAATAGATATTCCTCATTTATGCGATAGCATCCGTACCATGAGCACTCAAGCCTATGGACACCGCCACGATGAATACTCCGCGAATACGTCCCACTCGGTTCCAAATGGTCTCATGACTTTCTCGGCCCATCCATCACTACGCCACTCATGGGTGTACTCAACTCCGTACAAAAGCTTACAGTACTCCCAGTACTCCGGATACCAGCCAGCTTGCTCCCAATCAATAATACCAGGTCCGTCGGATATTATAATATTTCCAAGAGCAAGGTCCGCATGAGTGAAATAGATATCCCCCGTGTCAGGCAGGAATTCTCGATATGGGCCTGTGACCCCGCCCGGCCCTGGCCTTTGGCGAGTGGCAGCAGCAAGCAACCAGTCGTTAAATGACCTTATAGTCTGAAATGGCCCTTCTTCGTAATCAAGCCTGAAGAACCTATCTTGCACAGCTCCTCCGTTAATAGATCCTAAATTGTGGTTAGCGCACTTTGTACAACATGGGATCGACACATGTTTGGCGGTATTTACCAATAAAGCGGCCCGGAGAGCCTTGGCCGACTCGTCTTAGTTCTCTGACAATTCGGCTCAAGTCACCACGTATTAATGTTTTGTCCTTCTTGGTAAGCGTTGGCCATGCTTCTCGTAATGTTTGTCCCGAAATTAGGCTCATATAAATAAAGTTTTGGTCGCCAGACTTTCTCCATCCAAATACCTCAGGCACAGGTACCTCATTGTTTGCGAATACTTGTCTGATAGCTCTCATGGTTTGTGCTTCCTCCAACCTCAGATCAGAGCAGTCACCAAACTTAACAGCGAGGCTCAGGTGCTCAAGCTTCACGATACCGGCTCCTTTGTCTGGAAATTGTTGGAGGATTAATGCCGGCGATGGTAGCTATAATAAGGGATCCCCCGATCGGAAAAATGAAGTGTCGCGAAAATCCATCTCTAGCTCTGCTATTTCAGGCAAAGAGGCGATGTCGATGCGTAACCCATTTGCTCGTTTGGCCGCCATTGCTGAGGTTTAAGGGTAATGGGAAAGAATAGAATACATGCAGTCTGACCAACTGGACGTTCCACAGTAAGCGACCGACAGGGCGACCCGCCGGCTGCTATGATCCGCCAATTAGCGACGAGGAGGTTGTGTTGGCGCGCGACTGCTCAGTGACAACTCGGATGCTGTTCCATTGGACTGAAGGATTCGGAACCAGAAACCCTGAATCCCCTGTTACTCAGGTCAGCTGGACAGCACGGGGATGCGCTTTGCTTTCGGTCGTCCCGCGACTCCACCAACGGACTGTGAGGACTGCTATTCACACCAAGCAAATGCAAAGCCAACCGAGACATGAGGGCCAACTGAACTGGCGTGGCGGGTGCTGCATGGCTTGAAAGCGCCTTCCAGCAACGTGGCAAGGCCGTATGCTCCTCCTGATTCGACCATCGCTGAGGCATCGCGAGCTACAGAGAAGAGGCCTAACGAGACTGGCCCGATAGACAGGGCATGTCTCGATAATACCACGAGATCGCCTGGCAACAATGCCCAGGCAAAAGGTCAGCCGGTTGAAGGCCAATCTGGAGACGCAGCAGGGACCAAGTTAACAGAGCAGCACAGCCAAGCCCTTTCCAAATCCCAGGAACTCTGGAACGCTGCTTACGACAGTCTTGAGGAGAATACAGATACCGGAGAGCGTATTAGGTCTTATATGAAGACCCTAACGACAGTCCTGAGGACTAAGCTTGACGTTATTTCTGGCGTTAACGTTTCAGCCAATCTAAAGGATCCGACCAAGTAATAGATGTTTATGAAGAAGCTGGTGGAGGAGGGCAAGGCAAAGATTTCCATACCATTGAATGTTACGAAAGGAGTGGGCGACGTTGCCTAGTTCATTTTTTCGGCCAAGGAAATGGTTAAAACAGACATCTAGAACATCCCGCAGGCTGCACTTCCATGGGCGGCTGTCTGCGTTGGATTATAGGTGAGTGACACCTTTGTATTTCCTTGATTTCCGTTCGCTGAGCTTTATCTAGACCCTTTTAAATCCTGCGAAAGCGACGAAATCTAATCTTACTGGTATCGCGCACGTCGTCTCTAGAATGGACTGGTATTATGCTCTTACCGAATATCTTCTGAATAAGGATTCCGGTGATAAGTCTTCTGAATCAATCCTGTCCCAGCTGAAATAGAAGATACTAGCGCTTTACAAGGCCCTCCTCTTATATCTGATGAAAAGCGTCTGCTCCTACCATCGGCACTAAGGCCTTATCTTTCTCCGCGGCCTTGCGAACTGGGACGACTGGGACGCCAATCTGAAGACCGTAACAGTCACGAAGGATAACCTTCAGAAGGGTTAGGACCAGTACGCCAAGGTTCACGCGAGGGACGCCCTAAGACGACTTATTTAAAGTGCCGAAGGAATGAAAGCCCTACTCGGGAACATTCATTAAACACTTCACGACTTCATCATCCTGCAGAAGGACATGCACTTGGATGACAAGAACAAGAAATGCCTTGGAGACCTTTTTGTGGTAGATCCATAAGATGACATGAAGAAGATCGAGAAAAACAAAGAAACGTTGCTTAATGAGGCTTACAAGTGGATCTTCGACTCGAAGGCGTACCAAGCATTCACGAATTGGAGCAATACTGGCTCTACGCTACTGCCGTCGTGTCGACTGTTGTGGATTAAGGGTCACGCCGGTACAGGGAAGACAATGCTCTTAATGGGCATCATTCGTGAACTCTCAAGCCACTCCGCCACGCTTGCACCCAAAGTCTCTCACTTTTTCTGTCAAGGCACAGTCAAGGCTTTGAACAGTTCAACAGCCACCTTGAGATCTCTGATCTGGTTGCTCCTTGTACAGCAGCCGCATCTCATCTCTCACCTGCGTTTAACGCACGGGAATGCGGGTGTTTCCCTTTTCGAAGGCGACTGTGCATTCATTTATCGATCTGATGCTTTTGAGAGTATGTTAAAGGAATCTGGTTCATCTCCAGTGTATTTCGTGGTCGATGCCCTTGACGAGTGTCAGCAGGACCTAAACAATCTCAAGAAGCTTATTTTGACTTCCCTTACCATCTCTGATAGAGTGAAGTGGCTGGTCTCGAGCCGTCTAACGGTCAAGCTTAAGACTCCAGAAACGGAAGGTTCGTTGGTTGAGCTGGATTCCCAGAAGCTAAAAGATCCAGTTAATACATATATCGACTATAAACTTTGCATTCTGAAGACTAGAGAAGGATACGATGATAGTGTTTTAGCGCACGTTAAAGCGAAAGTCTGTAAACGAGCCGAGAATACTTTTCTTTGGGTGGCTCTCGTGTTTAAGGAACCTGACATGGAGGATGAAAATCAGATTCTCTTGCATGGATCGTATGCTCTCAACATCGTCAAGGAGACCCCTTCTAGTTTATCGAAGCTATACGATGACTTAATGGGTAGGATCGAAAAGGGGAAGATGCTGGATCCGCAATATTGCAAAAATATCCTGTTGGCTGCTATTCTTGCAGTCCGTCCTCTCACCCTCCCTGAGCTTGAGGTGCTCGCTCAGCTACCAAAGAATATGGACCCACGAACGATGGTTAGGAAATGCGGCTTCAAGTCATTGGCCAAGATGAAAAGTGAATCCTGCAGGTAATCAGGGGTTTCGTAGCGGAAGGGTGTGGCTCTAGCGTCCTAGAGAGCATGTATCGTACCGGTGTCGGCGATATCCGGTTCCCTTGGCTCTGGGTTTCCTGTCCTCCAAAAACGGACACCACATCCTCCATTTTTGGAGGCATTGAAACCCCGGGGAAGAGCTTAACGGGATCGTGAGTTCTACTAGCGGCTGTGGTCGTCGTATGTGACTGATTAGGCTTTATCTTACATTATATTGATATGGATATAAGGCACGTGAGGGCAAAAATGAAACATACAACACCGGGTATTCGCTGGTCGTCACCGACCCAACTACTAATCCAGCGCTCGCTAGGTTATCGTACGGGATCGGACGGGATCGTGAGTTCTACTAACGGCTGTGGTCGTATGTGACTGATTAGGCTTTATTTTACATTATATTGATATGGATTTAAGGCACGTGAGGGCAAAAAGAAACATACGATCCAACTACTAACCCGGCGCTCGCTAGATTGTCGTACGAGAACGGACGGGATACCGCGTCCGAAATTTGAACTCGCCCGACCTTTACCCGTAACGCTCGCTTCCTACCTGTCCACCGTTTCCATTAGAGAGTGTAGATGACCCGACTATTGCTCGCCTACCTGACCTGACCCGACCATTGTAATTGACCTGACCTGACCATTGCTATTACTATTTTGGGCGGAATATAGCGGAGTCATAGTGGAGCTCATAGTGGTCGTCCCCCTAGGAGTTTAGCGGTTAGGGTTAGTTAGGTAAGGTATCAGGGTTAGCCAAGGGATATGAATGACGAATTAGGTAAGACCAGTGGTGAGTAGGGGAGCAATGGTCGGGTGGTATGCATTCTCCTTTGCATAACAGACGCCCCTTCGTTTCAAATTAAATTGTACTTGAACAAACATATATGTACGCGTCCCTGGTTAAAAACCCAGCAATGGCTGTTTATAAAGGGCCGCTCCCCTCCAGAGCTTGGAGCGCCGCCGTAGCTTTCGCCCGCGGTAACGTCGCCCAACCGCCTCTGCAAAATGCCTCCAAATATAAAAGCCTGGCTTCGCTTTGCCCATCCCAGTGTGCACAAATTGACCAAGGATACAGCTAAAGCTGTAATATAAGAGAATGGCAAGGAGCGGTTCTGTAAAGTTTGTTTTCTAGAGGCAAAGAGGCAGGAATATTGTAAGAGGATATAGAAACACTAGGAAGAGTAAGCTCGAGGTATACCAATTAAATAGGGGGCAGAGACGCTAATTCAGCTCATAGTTTGCTGGCCCAAAGCACACACACCTACTGACCTGACTGCCAAAAGGCATCAGCGGCTTATGGTTTCACAGTTTCTTTCCACTTGCTCGTCAAAACTCTGACAATAGACCAAGATGGTCTGCTTATCAGGTCAAATCTAACCTGATTAAATAAACAGCTGATACTAATCGCGATCATCGCCCGAGTGGAGCTTTCAATCGCAGGATCAGACCTTCAATACTTGGTAGTCGTCGTGGCAGTGAGTCTGCTACAAAGAACTCGTAATGGTCCAAGCGAGTATATTGACAACTGGCCGGGCGACTGTGAACAAGTTTCCAAAGCTAAAGAGGAAGAGAGGAAGAGAACAAGAATGCAAGGGCTCTTCGAGTTCTTGTAGGCTTGTGAGCTTGCTTTTGCCAATCTCGCTCAGCGCTCCTAATAGTGCAGACCGTTTACACTATTAGTGCAAACTGCTCCGTTACCCGTGGCAACCTTGCCATCATTTTAATACCATCAAATCAAGAGCAAAAAATTAAGGCATCCGACTGGTCGACGTTTATTCCCACCAGTTATAACGCGGTATGAATTGCTTTCGTCCGGTATAAATAGAACTGATATATCGTCGCGATCGTAGTGCGCACTAAAAGTGTAAACGGTCTGCACTATTAGGAGCGCTGCTCTCGCTTATTGCTAGGGGCTACCAGCTGTTAGGATCACTAAGAAACGTGCACGATTGGGTAGCAAGTTAGGAGAAGGAATGATATTATTAGATCTCCTATAGATATAAGACTAAAACTTATTTAATATTGTTATTAGATTAGATATCTCTTTTATTCTTAGGCGATTACTAGTTACATAATTAAGCTAAGATTAATATAGTAATATAGTTTTATAAAAGTAATTATTATAAGGGCTTACTTTAGCTTTATTATGCTAGGCGATATTGCTGTGCACGTGCATGTGGTGCCGTCAGAGATCGTGGGCATGTCATAGTGAAATCCTCCTTCCGGCGCCTTACAAATACTCCTTTGAGGTATAAATAAGCCCGACGATACGCTCTTTACAAGAACTTCCCTTTGTTAGACAAACACGATAGAAAACATAAAATCTGCTTCCTTAATACATTCATCAATAGCTTCACCGTTGCATGCTTTGTGTATTGATGCTGTTTCTCCTTTGCTGAAGAATCTATGGTCTACTGTCCGTCTCGTTTCGTATACTAATACGTTAAAAGTGCCCGCTAGGGTCCGTGCCGCCGCCGCCGTGAGTCGCTTCACCGTCAGAAATGCTATCCTCGAACGCAGCATCGTGAATGCGAGAGTGCGGTCAGTCATCAACATCACTGATCGGACATCTTGCTGCACTAATTCTCAGGCCACTCATTCATCAGTTGATGTCTCCGCTTGGTGATTCCGGGCCTCTTTTGTTAGCTGCTCCCGCCTGCACTTCACCCCTTTTGATGTTCGCCGGTTAGGGAATCGCTTGTGGAATCCATCAACAAGCGTGCTCAGCTTGCTGCCAGTCCACTCCTCGATAAATTCGTCTTCCGAGCGTGACCAAACTGTTCTAGTCCGCTTAGCGATCTCCGGGTCCGGTTGCTTTCAGGCCGGTCGGGTTCGTACATAACTGCCATTTCTTGCGTATCGCAGCACCTGTCCGTTGCCCAGGAAATTTCTCTTGAAATGCGACGATGAGCACATTCGCTTTGCCACGCCACTCCCTAACAAACCTTTCTTGCTCGGGCAGCCAAGCTTGTGCTTTCACAGTAGCCTGGCCTTCTTGCGGTCCAGGTGCAGATTTGCTGGCTTTGCCTGGTTTCCAAACCTTGGCGTGGAAAGCACTGAAAGAATACTCAGAATCGAACTTATCCTGCAACCTGTCGTACTTCTCTGATAGAGTAAGATTAGAGACTTGAAGTTGCTCTAAAAACTTTATCATCTCATCCGGCCATTTTCGCGTTATGCCAGATAGTCCAAGATGCTTAGCTCTGACAGCTATGGCTTGCATGGATCTGTGAATGCCGAACTTCTCGCGCAAGGCATCTGCACACTTTGAGTGTGGCCTTTTTTTCTTGAGCAGAAAAGTGAGGAATTCGTCCTGCTCAGAATCCCACTGGAACACATCGGAAATGCGAGAAATATCTAGCCCTTGCTGCTGCGCTTGCTTGCAAAGTGATAGTTTTGTCTGCTTTGTGTTAAACCTTTTTTCGAACTTCCAATTGACACTGCCCTAGTCCTCAGTAGTTTCTACAAGCTCGGCAAGGTAAGCGCAACGATCTGAGGTCCAAGGGTGCACACTGCTTGATGGATCCTCGGGAGATGCTGATGTGGACAGCCGAGAATCATGTGCTGTTACATGTTGTGCATCATCTAATCCGAACGGGTTGTCCAAGTCGGCATCCAGGCACATAGCCTGACTTTCGAGATCCGTTTTGGCAGAAGTTGACATTCCTGCAACTTGCGAAGATGAGTCAAAGCTCGGATCCGTATCGAGACGCCTCGGTTCCAAACGTGAATTGGACATCGGAGAGCGCGCAGTTAGGCGAACCGAGTACACAGGGGCGCCAAAGTGAAAAGTTGATTCTTCCCATAGCTGCGGAATAAGAATACCGTAGCGAGAGCACAAGGCTTCGATGGTTATGCTTTCTGGAGATTGTTGTAGATCGGCCTTGATTTTCTCCAAGTTGGCTTGTGTGGTTAATAATTCTCGTGTCCATTCTTGACAAAGATCCGGATGCAAGTGTTTTGTGGTTACAACATCAAGCGAATAGTTGTATGGGTGCGTCGCAGTTGCTAAGACAGAACCCTTTAGAGCTTCTCGTAAGACCCTCTGAGCGGAGAGTGCCTGTGTAGGTAGACTTCCAGTCCGGATACTTGAGAACCCAGCTAAAGCGGTGTCTTAATATCAGGTGGTCAGAGAAATGCCAACCTTTGCCAAGCCCACCAATGAAGAATGTCGTCCAAAACTCGTCATCGGTCGCATCATCTGGACCGTTGCTAAATGTGTTCAGGTGATGGTTTCTCATCATGCTGATTAAGAGCCGCAGACTTGATGACCGATGTTGACCTAGCCGGCAAGGCCCAGATTTGATCTCAACTCTCATAGTGTCCATGGGCTCAGTTGTTCTTTCGCTTGGGGGGCTGAACATTTGTGGACAAGCGAACCCGAGTACTCTGTACCGTGCATCGTTCGGAGGCCATGCAAAGGACTCTTGAGCGTGGTCAACTTCAGATACGTAGGTCTCGTCGGCGGCTTGAGTATTTTCAACATGGCTTGTCTGTCTCACCCCTGGTGCACCCCTGGCGCCTGTCCGTGGTAGTCACTGTGCGATCTTTGCACGGGTCATACTGCCAAAGTGGTAGGTCCTCCAGATGACATTTGTCCCAAAAGCATTGCTTTGTTCCCTTCAAGCTCCAAATTGTCGCGAGTTGCAATGGCCGAAAATTTTGGAGGCGATCTGATGGTACGCCATCCGCAAGGAGCTGAGAGTAGATACAGTGCCAGATCTCGAACATTGTTGCTTTAAGTATCAGTGGGACAGCATTATTGTCTCCTTTAGGCGAGATTGGACAGAGGCCTCGTTGAGCGAGGATTCGTCGCGCAAAATGTAGAAAGATCTGATTAATGCGCTCCTGAAGGAAATAGGATTTCTGGTGTCTTTTCAGTCGGATGCGGGCAGGTGGTGAATCTTTTTAAAAGTTAGCATTAGCGTGCAGCTAAGTTGCAAGGTGTGACTTACCCTTGATCCTCTCCCACACATCTCTGTGAAGCAGACTTGGCAGGTATCGATTGAGAAACGACCCAATGAAAGTTGTTTTAATGGTCATGTTCGAAGTCTGTGCGGCACAACAACGTGGACAAATCGCTTATTGTTTTGCGGCCATCCTCAAGTGCCGGAATATGGAAGTAAAGGTCATTTTCATTCTTTGGGGGCCTTACAAGCTCATGCTGCTTGAGATGCTCTTTTAGCAAGTGGATCTGCGCCCAAAGGAACCTCCATCTACTGACAGAAAACGGAACGAAGGTCGGATGCCGGGTTCTTACCATAGACAAATGGTGATGCATATTCCTTATCTCAATCGCAGTCTCCGCTACACCCTGTTCGTGTAAGAGCCTTATCAAGACGTTCCATTGGATCTTGTGTGTTCCTGAGTGGTTATAGACTTTTGTTTCGTTTTCGGGCACGACACGGATCATTGTGTCTGTATCGCTCTGCGACCACAGGACAGAACAAGCAAAAGCTCCATATGGTTTGCAGGCTTGCTTCAAAGGGAGCGCCCGATTGAGTCCCCGAAACGCAGGAACCGGCATATCTTTCGGTCTGTAAGCTTCGCTATACCGGGCAGCAAAGCGGGTGCGGCCTGTGCTGTTCTCCTCGTCGGGACTGAGGGTGCCGAGGAAGAAAATATCGATGGTCTCCGCCAGCGCCATGATGAACGTTAAATGAGAAACGTAGTCACCAAATTCAACAGCTGCATATGGGAAGACAGACAGTATAGCAAGCTTGGCTAGACCGATGGTTTCACCCGCTAATTGCTGATGGCAATAGAGGACTTGTCCATAATGACTACTATCTCGGTCCTGCGCCGTAGCATAGGACGTCTGGTCACATGCTGCCACCATGCGCTTGTGCATAGCTTGCTGAATATAGTAATAATGTTGCTTTGATCAACTACGTATGCCAAAATCATCATCTGGGTGGGCTGGCATGCGCTGGACTTTACCATGTAGACTTCATCTGGAAGGCAGTGGGTAGGAGCGGGATCTTGAAGTCGTGGTCCATGTAAGGCGTGAGTTCCCAGCACATTGCGAAGGCCGTCGCCATCTGGATTTAGGACGACTGATTCCAGATCGTTAAATATCCGTTTGTGGGAGGTGCGACCCAAGATCGATCGGACTTGGTAGGATCGAATAAGCGGATGAAGTAAGAAGCTTGAGAGCGCATTGCGGATTCGGGGAGATGCATTCGCTCTCAGCCATCCCAGAATTGTCGCGTTGAATGGCAAGGAGTATATACCGCGATTTTCCGTTTTCTTAGCGACGCCGAAGATATCCTCGAGTATACGCATATACTATATGTCGTGGCGCTCGATGCTCGCGCGCTGAGGCTCAGGAACTATAAGGAAGTAGATGGGACTTAATCAGATATGAACGTGATACCAAAAAGAGAGCTGCTTAAGCAAATAGCAGGGACTTGATATACGAAAGTATCGCATGGCGAAGAAGCGGGTGACTTCACTGAAAAGAGAAACAAACACAGTATAGATGTTACCTTACGTGAACTCGGATCCAGTGTCTCTCCATCAAACTCTTCTTCAATGTGATACAGCAAGTCATAGATGACTGAGCAATAAATTGTCCGGAAATCACATTGCTGGTAGGTGTCGTCTTCCCGAGACCCGTCGCCGTCGCCGTCGACCTCATCAGCATGGGAGTCGTTGCCCTCGGAATTGGAAGCCAGGTGGCCCATGGTGTCAATGTCTTGCTCTACCGCGACGGCGGAAACGACCCAATGCCACTCGTCGATTTGGGGAGCAAGAATCGGCTTTTAGTTATGCCTCCGTTTCTTGCGGCTCTGACGTGGACGAGTCGAAGCTTGGACTTTTCCCATCCCGGCGTTGAAGTCTTGGGAGGTTTGACCCCCAAAAAAGAGCACGCGCTCAGAACCGCGGCAGTTAACTACCACAGGTCTACCTACGGTAGGTACTCAAAGACAGGGGGTCAATTACAGCATGACTCACGCGTTAAGGAGCCTTCTGTAAAGTTATTCTGCTCAGGATGGCGTCACAACTGGACGCTTGATCCACTACACCCAAGTCTAACCACCTTAACTCCGTAGACTACTAATTACCGTGACGATCACCAAATGGGACAGGTATGCTGCGCTGTAGCAAATAGTGGATTTCAGTGAATAACTAAAACTAAGGAGAAAAGGAAAGTAAATACAGGTAGGGAGAACCACCAGCTTATATAGCCGTGACCTCTGCGTTCACTAGTCGTGAATATATCCCTTCACTTGGCAGCGCCTGTGAATGCCCTCTGTGCTTGTATCCAGTGAATGTTGTGCCTAGGTCACGTGATTAGACGTGTGATATGACCCGTGACATTACTGAGAGTAACTTACTGTGGGGCTAGGGTCGCAACCCTTATCAGACGTCTTGCCACAACAAGCCTAGTGTCCCCACAAGAGACATCTTGTAGATCTCATATGGCGGGGAAAGCTTTACACTGAGAGTCATCAACTTAATTCGCTTCCTACTTACCTTTCCCCTTCAATCAACTATCACAATGGCTGCCAAGCGCGTTTGTCTGTGAGTTGAACAGAACCACTTTTGCTTTCTAAGCGCTGTTAGGCTGACTTGGCGATTTCCGTGAATTAGGGCATACTCTGGCGGTGCGTTTTTCTACACGAACAGTGCTGCATGAGCACGATGACCATGCTAATGTAAATTCCAGGTTTGGATACTTCTGTTATCCTGGCCTGGCTCATTGAGAAGGGCTATACTGTTGTTGTACGTCCAACCCAGACGATGTACCTACGCTGAGCTGACTGAGACAAGGCGTTCCTAGCAGATGTTGTACGTACAGGCCGTTCCTCGACATTTGCTCCTCCGCTTGGAAGACAAGCACTGCACCTGGAAGCACAAGCTGTCTCTCGCATCCTGGCCCGTGCCCTGTTCATGGGGAGGATACAAAGAGAGGTGACCCGGAGGATAGAAAGAGATGGACTGTTATTCTCAGGGCCAGCTCGCTACTCATAGCGGCTTCATTTGCTTATATCCCTGTGCTAACATCATGGCAGGGACAAAATGAGGACTACGACGCAGTCAAAGCGAAGGCCGAGAAGATCGGTGCCGAACGCATGATCATCCAGGATCTTCAGCAGGAGCTAGTGGAGGAACTTGTTTGGCCAGCGGTGCAATGTGCGCTCGGCCGATCCCCCGTGCGAAGTGCACAACTTCCATCCACAGCTATGCTAACATCCCACGCTATTAGGCAACGCGATATACGAAGACGCTTACCTCTTGGGGACGTCGTTGGCCAGGCCTGTCATCGCGAGGGCGATGATGAAAGTGGCTAAGCAGTATAACTGTGAATTCTTGAGTCATGGATGTAAGCAATCGACGTCGCCTTTCAGGATCTGCTTACTGTCGTGCCATACTGACTGCCGTCTCTCCTACCTACACAGGCACAGGTAAAGGGGTACGCTCTTCCCTCTCTGTATATCATGTTCTGGATGCTAACTTGCTTAGAATGAGTACGTTTAGGTGTCCAGATATAAATGTCACATACTCACCCTCTTTAAGCCAGGTCAGATTCGAGTTGGCATGGAGGGCCCTCGATCAGAAGACAAAGACAATCATCCCGTGGCGCATACCGGAGTTTTGCGAGCGATTCGCGTCCGTACCCCTGCCGGCCCCCCCCTCTCTCAGAGATACTAACGTACAGACAGCGGGCGTCAAGCACTCTTGGACTTTGCTGAATCAAAGGGCGTTCCTGTGACGTCGACTAAGCAGAAGCCGTTTTCGATGGATGCCAACCTTATCCAGTGAGCAAAAGCCCTCTACTTCATCCCATCGAGACCTTCAAGTTCACTCGGTGTTATGCGTCGTTGCAAGCGACCGCCGTACAAAATGAGGTACCCTAACTTCAGCTGTTTTGACTGGCCACTACTGTCAGTTCATAAGTACACAGCAACTCGCAATGATCTATAAGTACCAAGAGCGCTTCGGTCTCGACGGGATACCTATAAGGGGAGGGAATATCAGGAACTCCTCCAGAAGTGGCAGAAGTGGTAGAAGCACGCAGCAAGTGCTTTCTTTAGGTGCTATACAACCTCGTACATCACGCGGACAGGACTGTACAGTGTGTACACGACTTGATACTTGCTTCTGCCACGCTATAATGCTTCCATTTGACCTCCTTCTCCCGGCCGGACATAGAATCGTTGCTAATCTTCTATCTGAAAATAGTTGCTCTTACGAGGCAGGTCTACTCGAGCAACCCGAGCTCGAGCCGCCAGCCGACATGTGGACAATGACGGTGGGTAAGTTCGTTCAGTCTTGAATCAGTTCCGTGATGTGGGAGCTGACTTCGAAAGATCCCATGAAGGCTCCTGACGAGCCAACCAGGTTCACTGTCCACTTCGAGAAGGGCATCCCAATCAAGCTTGAGGTCGGTGACAAGGCCGTCACTGGCTCACTGGACATCTTCAAGGCCGCTAACGAAATTGGCCGAGCTAATGGAGTTGGTCGTGTCGACATTGTCGAATCAAGGTTCATTGGTCTCAAGAGCCGTGGCTGTTACGACACTCCCGGCTTGACGATCCTGCGCACCGCCCACCGAGATCTCGAGGGCCTTGTCATGGACTCCAAGGTCCGTGCCATCCGTGACCAGATGGTCACCTCAAACTGGACCGCCTGTCTCTACAATGGCATGTACTTCAGCCCAGAGCGAGAGTTTCTCCATAACTCCATCATCTTCAGCCAGAGGCACGTCGAGGGCAAGGTCAATATGGTTGCCTATAAAGGCAGCGCATTCGTTGTCGGACGCTCCAGCGACACCTCTAACCTTTACTCCGAGACTGAGTCGTCCATGGATACACTCGAGGGCTTCTCCCCAATGGTAAGTAGCTTTTTAAAAAAGAGCTTTTAGACGTGAACCGAAGCTGATAATGTGTTAAGGACACGAGCGGCTTCATTGCTATTCAGGCTATCCGTCTGGAGAAGTATGGTGCCCGCAAGATTAGGGACGGCGAGCCTCTTGCCCCTATCTAAATGTAAATAGCACATATGCTGGCAAAAGTCTGCGGACTTCTTGACATTAGTGACCTGATCTTATCTATTTTAGGCACTAAATATAAATTTTTTTATAAAAGTAACCTATAAAGCTAGAGGGGACGTTGTAAAGTGGTTTTGTATTAGGATCACTAAGAAAAGTGCACGATTAGGTTAGTAAGTTAGGAGAAAGAATTTAGTTGTAAGGCGCATGATAATATCGCCGTGCATAGGAGCAGAGCTCTTACCAGAGCATTAACAAGAAAACTACATTTTCAATTTTCAAAAAAGCTTAAATAATTAATAATAAATCTAATAAGATACTTAAATTATAATAATAAATACATAAATTAATTAATATTATAACTAATTAAGTTATATAAAAAATTGGGTTTTATTAGCTTATTATAAGCTTAAAAACTAGATTATATAATTTTCTAAAAATACACTATACTATACTATACCAGAGCATTGACAAGAAAACTACATTTTCAATTTTCAAAAAAGCTTAAATAATTAATAATAAATCTAAT